TTGCTTCTATGAACTTCACTTAGTCCAAAAATTACACTGTAAAGATTGCCTGGTCAGGGAGTGTTAGGCTACGGTGATAAAATAATATCACTTGAACTGTATTTTCTGCCACAGTCTCCACCACATAGAGCTCCTTTCATAGCACCCCTCTGTAGTGCTTTGTCCAGTAGTTCTGGATATGATATCATCTATTAATAATGTATTGGCAATGGATTACATAAAAAGGGACCAGAAATAACATCCAATATTCATGCCCCCTGAGCTTGACTGTGTCCAATCCGTTTGGCCCATAAAACCTTAGCCCCATTTCCATATCCGCTGTGGGTCACGACAGGTCTGCCTCACAAAGGCTCACAGAACAGCTCAACTCAGGAAAAGGGCAGTAAAAATCGGGTGGATTTCTGAACCCTTATGAAACAGCCCCCCTTTGGAAAAAAAGTGAAAAAGCCCTTTTCCGATTTCAGCGCCTGTGAAAAACCTGGTACTGTATTTCCCTCTTTAATTGTGCCACTTGAGAAATTGACGTGCCTCTGAAACATGGCATGAATCTCACAGTTATTGCAGTCCCCTTGGCAGGGAATGTTGATACAACATCTGCATGCTATAGAAAGTAATGGAAGTAGCAGAGGTGGCAGCTGCAACTCTACAGGAAGTGTGCCATTTTCAGGCAGTGCTGCTGTGAGAACCACTAACTGCCAGCCTGGTCTTGCAGGCAGCTCTGATTGCCAGGACACTATGACAAACACGCAGGGGCTGGGAGTGTTGCATCCTGGGGGATGACAGCTTCTGTTTGATTGTCAATAAGGCTCATTAGCAGAAAAAATGGAGAATGCGAAAAGAGATTAAATGGCTTGAGACAGGGTCCCCCTCATGTTTCATTACAGGGGATTTATCAGAGCCTTTATTTCATCAATTCCACAAAGAAAGAGAAAAATCACTCACCCCAAAAAAGTAAAGACTTTTGCTAAATTTATATTTATAAAATTCTACACATTCCAGATGTTGTAATGCACTGCAAGCAATTCCATCAAAACAAACCCAACAAGTGCTAATCAAGCTCTTTAAACACCATCCACACCTAACATAAAACTCTCTCCTCCCTGCTCCCAGCGACTCTCATCTTAAGAACAGTGGCGGATGTTTCCCTCCATCTTAGGGAGGAACGGCCAACAAAGCAGCGTGTAAGGGCCTTTCCCTGAAGAGTCCTTGTCACGCCGCGCCAAACCTCTGTGATTATCGTTGTTTTTGCAGAGAGTGTCCATGCCTGCCAATACCGCTGTTCCATAAATGAATTTGGCCCCTCGTCAACGAATTACCTAACACGCAGAACTGTGTATGTGTCACATCCAATTCCAACTCACCGGCTTTGGTGGTGTGTGTCAGCTGGAGGACTTAATCATCAATCGTCAATCATAATAAGCGAAGCACATTGATAGGGCTCCTTTTTTTTTTTTTTTCTACACTGTTAAATAAAGTGTAAAGGGAGAAGTTAAAACTGACCTTGTTAAATTGGGACCACAATTTATATTCCTAATTTAGTGTATGGATTAATTAGTCTTGTGTGTGTGTATATCAGTTTCCATGTGGTGGAGCTTAGGAGCTATATCTGCTTTCATAAAGAAACTCTGGAATGATATCTGTCAGTTTAATCTTGATGTTTTTGCTCAGAACGGGCTTTGCATGTTTTTAGCTGCACACTTTTAATTAATGCTTAATTGGACAATTTATAGAGAGGACTTTTCCACCATTAGACGCCAATCAATAACCCCTATCTCACATCATACAAAATTAATCAGTATGACCCGTCATCAGGCCTTAATGCAACCACACACACACACACACACACACACACACACACACACACACGTAACATGGCTAACTGGCAAAGCACGCATTTTGCACAAGGCTGAGGAATCTGGCTCATATTTTCCCTCTCCCTGATCCAATCCACTCCTCTCCCCCGTCATATAGATCGGAGTCTGCGGGGGCCAGAGGCGCTGACAGAGCCCAGATGCTCCCAGTCTGTCTGGGGGACTGGGGAGACTGGTGCCATGGGGTCCTGGAGCCTCTGAAGTGCCGCCCCTCCGTCAACATGACCAAGGCTAGACCTGCACTTTCTCCAGGCTGAGACACTCTCCTTACCACACTGACAAGTAGCGCTGCATAGTCACAGATTGATACACGCAGGGATACATGCTCACAGGCACCCGCTCCCACATAATGTATGGCCGTTCATCAGCCGTTCCTAATTAGAGACCCCCAGACCAACACTTGAGTTCATGAGGTTACAATGACACACTGATACAAGGTTACTAACATGCACACACTTGCATGCTGATGCCTCTCAGGGTTTCTTTTACTTTCTCATTTAATCCTGCTCTATCTCATCACCACTGTCCTAAACTTGCTCATGTGGAGGGGGTTGGGGGGGGCGTCTCTTTGTTCTAAAGAAACAAAAACAAAAAGAAAAAGGCACCATACGAATCCTCCATCCACCCGCTTTCTCTCTCAAAACACAAAGATCATTACAAGAGCATCAAAGTATGCCATGTTTGAAATGATATTTCTCTTTGTAGTTGTGGCGTAGCGTGGAGTGTGTTGGTATTAGATGCTGCTGTGGCAGCTGTCGTGGCTGGCTGCGCGGTGCCTCGGTGTCAGGGCCTCCGAGGCCAGGCTGTCCCGGCAGACAGACAGAGGGGGAGGAAACCTGATAGTGCAGCCAAGCCCCAGTCTAATGTCTGTCTATCCAGCTATCTATCCCTGTGTCTATCTGTCTGACTGACTGTTGGACACTTCCTATCTGCATGCCGGATACTCCTTTGGCTTCCCAGTAGCAGTGCACCGCTTACAGCTCAGTTTATATGTTCCAAAAAGTTTTCCCTCTTTTTTTTTTTTTTTTTTCCCTTTTTTTTTAAGCGTACAAACTTCTTAGGAAGAATAAAAGCAGCTATTTATGAATCACTGATGTGGCTGCAGGATTAACTTCTGCAGGGTCCCCGCTAAGCCTGCGCTCGTACCGAGGGGTGCAGGTTGTGATAACATTAGAATTATGAGCTGACATGTATGAAGAGCAAGAGATGGAAGCACAGAGTGTGTTTGTATTTGATGTGGGGGCAGAAAATTGTTCTATAATGAGGAGGGGTGCCAGGATATGAGATGGGAAGTGGGGAGTTGGAGACAGGATATAAGTTATGAGAAGGAAACTAATGTTAGGAAATGCAGGGGTTGTTGTTGTTGTGGCTGTATAAGCTAAAATGTATCTTACTACTATCGGCCATGATTAATACAGCCTGGCCAGGTCAAAACCCTGCACTAACGCTACGAATGCCACCAACCATATCCTCGCTCTTTCTGGGGCTCAAATGAGTGTGTGTCGTATGTGAAAGAGAGTGTGTGTGTGAGGGGGTTAATAAATGTTGAATCAAACGCCGCACGAGACACTCACACTCCTTAAGGGTTGCCCATTAGCGGTGTGTGGGTGCATGGGGAGTTTATCAGTGTCTGGGTGATTTATGAAGTCAGACTCAATATCATCCACTTCACCCACACACATATGGACATACACATGTGCACACACCAACACGCATGGCCACATGCTCTCTCACACACACTCACGCACGAGCATGCAGCACATGCACTCATGAAGCCTCTCTCTCTCTGAAATGGAGGCAGATATTAGGCCAAAATTAAAGGTTTCACAGAGATTAACAGTGCGGATGATGAGATCGTCTCAGCCTCTTTTAATCTAATTCCTTTTTATCTCGGAGCCAGCATGATACGGAAGTGGTACACATGGTGAAAATACAACCACAAAATAATACAGACATAATAATAAGATGACTACTAATACTTCTAAATACAAAAATGGCACAGAAATGCAAGAATAGAGAAAATAAAAGGTGTGAAATATTTTAAAGAGATTCCTCGGGTCCGTAAGCAATTATGTGGCCAATTACTGGCAGCACGTCTGAAGCTTTGATGCTGGACTTGTTTTTTACCATCAGCCACAGAACTCTACAGACATCAGTATCTCTGGTTGCTAAATTCATAGCATTCCTTGGAATTTACTTAGCCACAAGCAAAAAAGGAGGGTGCTTACAGTGCACTTCAGAGTGCGCCTGGCTTAAATGGGACCCCTTGTGGCTGTGTCACAGCTCCCTTCGTTAGGGGGCTGACTGTAGCCTGTAGTCACCACAGGCATCATTAGCCCTCTGTGAAACCACAGACTGAGTCTCATTCTTCATCTGCCTGTCTGCTGCCTCAACATCTACGCTGCGATGGTGCTCCAACGGCAGAGTAAGTGAGTCCAGCAGCACGGCAAGACAGCCGCACAGAGCTGATCGGATAAGAAATTCAAAAATGCAGCAAAGTTCAAATGTATTCAGTGAGCGGGCCACTTGAATTGGTTCTGCAAAGGTTAGAGCCGAGGTTATTTTTGGAGGGTGGATTATTAGGCTACCTGGGCTGAACCAGAAGAGGAATAACTAGTAAGGCAAGTAAGGGTCACTCTGGAGCTGCACTAGACAGTTAGGAGAATCAAGAATTTAGAGGGGAAAAGACCAAATTGTCAATGTTACAACAGATCACCGTGAGGAAATGTGGAAAATAAAAGTACACAACATATTCAATTAAAGTAACTGATTTTTCTAAACAGACACCACCACTGCTGCCCTCTACATATAGTCTTTTTAAAGAAAGAATAATTCATCCCAAAGGGATTAAACAGAGTTGTGATGAAAATAAAATAACATATAAACATTTAAGTCACAGATAAAATGTGCAGGATGAATTCAAGGTTGAAACGTTGTTTTCTGTTTCCCGTTCTGTACTGCCCTCTAATGGAAAACACCACTCAGAAATAAAAAAAGGAGCTCTGACATACAGAGAGCTGCAGCGAGGAGAAAAGACATACAGCATAATTAATTATGAGCTGAACTGAGTGAACACTATGTGAAATCAATTTTAAAATTAAACACAATTAGAATGATGAAAAGGCAGGATTTGTCATTTTGAGATGTATTTATTTAAACTTGTCTAATGTAACAAAAGTACAGTATATAATGCATAAGACATCTCCACTCTAGGTGGATTATAAGGCGAGAGCAAACAATGAGATCTAAATGAAGACAAAACAAATGCTTCACTACAAAGCTTTGTAGCAGTAAAATTCAGAGCCTTTATCACTGGATGTTGAACAAAGCATTCACTTGGCAGGAAATTAAAAAACCAACGAGAGGTACAAAGACTAATTCTGCTTAGGAAAAAAAAACAACAACAACAACAACAATGCAAGAGACATATTTTTAAGGGAATAATAATTCTTTAGAAAAACCATTCCAGCACTATCTGGCAAACGCAGCGGAGACCCACGGGAGCATATGTTTGTAATTCCTACTGTTCTCGGTTTAAGTTATTTTTGTACATTCTAATTCTGCAACAACTCTGTATCACATTAACTATGCAGCAACTCTATTCTTAGATTAAAAAAAGGAGTATAAACTGAATATCTACAAGTACCTCCAGTTGTTCCACAGTGTGTGCCAAGCACGCTAAACTTTATGGCCCTGTTTTGTGTCCTTAAAAAAAAATACTGGCCTTGTGTGTGTGTGTGTGTGTGTGTGTGTGTGTGTGTGTGTGTGCGCACACTGAATGAAGGACAGTTGGCCTCTGTCATGCTTTAGCCTTCCCCTCTCTGCCTCTCATGGGTGAGCAGCCATTGTTTGAGATGGTCGCCCTTGCCGCTCATGTACGGCCCACTCTGTCCACTGCTAGAAATGACTCGGTGGCAGGGGATGAGGAGAGGAACCTGGCACACAGACAGGCAGAGAGAGAGAGAGAGAGAGAGAGAGAGAGAGAGAGAGAGAGAGAGAAAATTCAACTTGGAGGAAATAAACGTTTTGCAAATATTATGCAAGAACATTTTTACATGCAAATGGAGACGCTTTAAAAAAAATGTCTTTAAATGATTTACCAATTTATAAATTCAGGAAGGAGGTTGCAAAAGTTTTTAAATATACAGTCCACGAAGGATGAGTACTGTTACAAAACTACGATCTGTTAGTAAAAAAAAATAATATTTGAAAAAATACAGATAGGACCTTTAGAAATTCACTGCTTTCTTATTCTCAAGTTGACATTTACTATCACAGTAACACAACAGTTGGAGGTGTTGGTAGTAGATATGTATTATGTATTAAAGAATCTCTGATTTACCGCATAAACGGTTTGACTTAAAAGTAACCAACGTGCAGAAAATATGAATCTGCACTTTCTTTTTATTTTTTGCCTTTTTTTATGTTCATGCACTGCATGAAAACAAAGTGCCACACCAGAAGTGTCTGGTTTGATCCTGCACAAATCCACATTCAGGGTGATGGCTCAGTCTTTGGGTATAAATGTTTTTTACTCTTTAATAGTGTAAAGCAAAGAAGCAATCAAAAATTAATGGGCAAAAACACCAGCAGGATGAATATTCAATCGAGAGGGTGTCAACATTAAGATCTGATAACCCTGTGATCATTAAAAAGAGGAAGTCGGTGGAGCGTTTACTCTTGTTGCAGACGACTGCCAGGGGGGTCCCGAGTTCTTTGTAAACTAAATGGCTGGAGAAAGATTAAACAAGCAAGCCTAAAACACTTCGATCATTGTGAATTCAGAGAAGAGTGGCAATGGTTGGAGTGAATCACAGCAATTATTTCTTTTAAAATATTCTTAATGTTGCCCTCATTTTGTTCCTGTTATTCTAAACAGAAAAAACAACACAACCGCTGCTGCATTGTGACTGTATACCTACAATTTAACCAAGTTATCCTGAGTTGATGGCTGCACCTCCAGCCTTTTATATAAAAGTTGGACATGCAGTGTGTTTCAGTTCAAATCCATCATTAAACCCGCTCCCATATCAACAGCAATAAAACTTTCCGAGCCCCAGATTAACCTTGCAGACAGAGAAATACTGCTCGAGTATTCCGATCAATACTGTTCCCCGGGTTTGGAGGGAGAGCAGGGTACCCTCAAGGCCTTCGGATCTGCCTCTTCACTTGGGGGGAAAAGAGCACTACACCAGGCTTATCAATACTCAAATCCTGGTGAAGAAGAAGTGCCACAGAGAGGCGAGGATCGATTGAGCACACTGAGCTTTTCACAGCTGAAGCCTGAGTGGAGCAGCGCTACTGACAAGTAATTGACACTGACAATCTGACTCTGGATCTGTATCAGGAGCTGAGGGCTCAGGCTCCCAGCCTCCCTGACGAAAGGAAAGAAATGTCTGTAAAACATGAGACTGAGTGGTATTATACAGCCATCCAGAAGCAATGCCATTGGCTAATGTAACATATAAAGTATATGGAGAAAGTAGTGCGTAGTTATAAAACACACAAATGTTATTTTTTATGGTTTATTTGCATTTATTCTGTGTTTGAAATTACTTTTTTTTATTTTAAATGACTTTCCTTCCGACTTTAATAACAAAAACAACGTCAGAGGAAAAGCACAGTACTAAGATGAGATATTTCTCGGCACATATGAGCCAGAACATCTCACTGGCTGCATTTCTGTACAAGAAGTGTTCTCTGCCTCACAGAGCACACCGGTGGTGCCCACAGCACTACATGGGCAGAGCTAAACGGGCTTTGATCAAAGGGTTTGATCAAAAGAAGACACACCACTTGCCCTCTAGCCCTCCATTTTGTACACAGTGGATTCATGGGCAAAACGATGCGGGCCAGGTTTCTTACAAGAATCGGAGATTTGCAGGGAACATCTACAGTAAAGACTTGAGAGAACAGGAACAAAAGGTGTGGGCTTAAAATTGTGCTGTAGGTAGACTTCTACTTCTGAGCCATTCTCAGAGGGAGGCGTTTATTTTGCACATATTCGAACACACCTACGGTTTAGATTACATATCCTGCATCAGGAAGATTTGTTTTTAATTATTTTATTGGAAAACTCTGGTGGAGCTTCCTTTAAGAAAAGGAAAACACAACAAATGGTCTGAAAATCATTCTATATATTATCACTTTTTTTGTTGTTTCAGTGTTTTGTGATTATTTGATCATAATTTACCCACAGTTTATCTGTATTTCTATCTATCTAACATTTATATGCAATTACAGCATAAAATACTGATGCAAAACCTTTAAATCTATTTCCAATTCGTGTGTGGTTAATTCAAGTTACATTTAAGAATATTTAATTAGAGCCACAACCAATGATTATTTTCATTATGGATTAATCTGACCATTATTTTCTCGATTCATCAATTAGTCTATTTTTTAAAAAATCTGCAAATAATGAAAACTATTCATCACAGTTTCCAAGGTGACGATTTTATATATTTTTTACAATCAACAGTCCAAAAGATAATCTGTTTGCAGGGATATAAAATCCTCATATTTTAGAAGCTTTAACTTAAAAATGATTAGAGTTTTAGCTTTAAGAAGTCACTCAAATAATTAACAGATTATCAAAATAGTTACCGAATACATTTTCTCTGGAATTGATTCATCGATTAATCATTGCAGGTCTATATTTAATACTGTAAGTGATATCATGGAGTCTCCAGTTCCCTATTTACTGCCCTTATAAAATCACTTATGAACTTCTGACAACAGGCAGCTTTTACTGTCTGCACACAAAATGCAGGTTCAGGTGCAGCAGTCATTCAAATCAAATAAAAACAATTACTTTCCCTATCTGGCTAAATAAAGTAAGTAAGGGAGAAGCCTGTCAATCAGTGTCAGCCACACTCACCGGGTTCCTCCTCATGGCCCCTCCCACAGCCCGCACCGCTCTGGGGTTTCCCGCCATCTCAGCGAGGCGTTTGTACGAGACCGTCTCTCCAAACTTCACATCCCTCAGAAGTACCTGCAGCACGCGGCTGGTGAACGCGTCTTCGCAAAACAAAGCAGAGGACAGAGAGGAAGAGCGAGAGACAGAAAGAGAGAACCGAGGAAAGAGAGAGTTCCTCATTTAATCAATCAAACTCAGACAGCTGACTGAGAGGCAACAAGACAACAGTTTAGCACAATGTAGCTCCTACTCCTTGAAATAAACTGGTGTTTTGAATTTAAATCAAAAGTTTGACACAGCACAACATTTTGATCCACTTAATAGTTTTTCATAAGGTCCAACCACGTGTTCGAGGTCCACTTCTTCTTCAAAAGGGCTCTGCACGGCTCCCTCTCTCTCCTTTACAAGACTCATTAAAACAACTAAATACATAGAAGTCCCCCAATTTGACCTTAGAACTAGTATCAACATGCTACAGAAGCAGATGTGAGAAAATTATTTCTATGGCAGAAAAATCTAGGTTATGCTTTGAAAGGTCACAGCTAAAATTAAAAAAGTTCGCTCCTTCATTTAAAAGGATTAAGAGAGGCCAAAAAGACTGCAAATCTGCTCCAGATTTTTAATAATAATAATTTGAATGTTGCATACCATTTGTGGCAGTGGGATGACTTTGAGGTTAATCAGACCAATTTGTCCTTTTAATTGCTTTCTATTCAGAGTAGATTCATTATATCATCTTCACTTAAATGGCGGAATTCTTCAAATCATCCGCAGCTTAACCGACCACATTAACGGCTTTGATTTCATTAGCACTTTAGCAGTAGCATTATCTTTTTTTTCTGGATTACCAGGCAGTGACTGAGAGGCATGTTTGTCTAGCTCTGATTGGTAAAGAAAAAGAGGGAAAAGTGTTTGAAGCATCTCGAAAACCTTAAGACATTGACGCACTGAGGTTTTGTAGCGAGCGAACAACACTTTTTTTTTTGCACAGAGTACAAGATGGGGAACAATGGTCTCGTTATCAAGAGGGGGTGACATTCTTCTAGTATATACATGTACTCAGTCATGAAAATTCAATTAGTGATCTCCCATTCTCTCTCATTTATATGGTCTAAGAGAGCACATGACAAGTGATCTATGAGAAATCCCTCTAAATTGGCATTGTGTGAAAACATGTCACACCCCTGTCTCTCTTCTACAGAGTGAACATCCTTTGCTCCCCAGGCTCCCTCGCTACCTTATAGTCACTCTCCGCTACACAAAGCCACGCGAACAAGGCAATTTGCCTAAACTGGGGGGAATAAGTGTAAAACCTAAAGGGGATATATTTGATTGATGCGCACCCATGTGAGTTCTTTGTCTTGAACAAGGCCCGTAGGTACTGTTTAATAATTTTTCAGGTAATAATCACGCTGTCAACGAGATGACGGGCTCTTACGCAGACAGACTTAATGTTATGAGGAGATAAGATACACCCCTGAAATTTCTTTTATGCATTATTCTCCCTCATAAAGCTCGGATTTGGCCACATGATGTGCGTGGTACATATTGATATCGCTTTGTCACTGGTGGGTAGATGACAACTTGCCCAGACTATGGCTATGACAAATCCCCACTGATGCAAACGTTATTGACAAACAACCAAAGTCATGCCAGCAGACGCTGCTGAGCGCTTTCGCCTACGAGCAGACCGAGCAAGCTACAGGGCTGTTTACACCTTTAATAAATCCCGAGCAGCTGTTTCTCCTGGAAGATTTCACATCTCCAACAGTTCTGGACAAAAACAAGTGTCTGCGCTTTTATCTGCCACTGCAGAGGTTAAAGAACTTTGCCCTCATCAGTGTTAGTGACAGAGACTTCATGCGGGTCACTCGAGGTGACCAGCCAATGATTTGGAGAGCAGTCCCCTAGCCCCATACTTCATAAAGAGCCTAATACGGTGTGTCTGGGGTCAGGACCCTCTTTAGATCGGGGTGCAGTGATGTCAATTGTTTAAATAAAAGTTGAGAGGAACCACTTACATGTTTACAGACATCCCATAATTATGTCACAGGTCATTACCTACCATGAGGCCAGGTGATAGGGCCACTGTGGAGGCAGAGACTGATTGATCCAGGGTAAAATTGAACCAATCTAGTGATTATGAAGATATTGACATGTATGATTGATTTGCTCATAATTTTATATATGAGAGCAATTTTGAAAAAAAAAAAACAATAAACTGAATTCCATTAGCCCAGATAATGATAGATTTGGGGGAGATGACTTCCAGCTGACAGTCACCTCATACATGCCTGTGACAATAAAAAGACAATAGTGGAAATGCAGCTACCTCATTATCCTTTGTGTCTAATGGGAGGGAAGACTTTGACTCCCAGTCAAAGTGTCTCTTGAGTCTTGAGGGATCCATACTTTTGAAGGCTGACGGGGTGCTGATGATTCTCTGATTATTCGATATTCTGAAAACGTTCATTTCCCTAATTCCTCTCCACATCACAGGGGTGAGTCCTGGTGAGTGTCTCATCTCGCCCTGCGCTGTGCACAGGGGGAGGTTCAGGCTCCTGCAGGAACACAGTCATTTGGGCTTTGAAGAGCGCCCTTCCCCCCCTTTGCCTGGCCCCCCTCCCCGCATATTCCCTGTGCCGCTTACCGAGACTAAGATCCTCTCGTCTGTTACATATGGATGTATAATTAATGAGATAAGAATATGCATCGTTTTAAGAACTCATGATGGTGTCTATGTTTTTCTGAGGGGGGCGAAGGCAAGTGCACGTGCACACACACATACACACACACACCCACACACACACACGCACAAGCTCCCCGAGCAGGACACACGCACGCACTCGCCATTCCTCTACCTCTGACGACCAAACTTGCGTGTGATGTTGCGCATGACAATCAGTCAGACAGTATAGAAAACCGCACCTCGTGTCTCCTTTCATGTCACCTCTGTTGCTCAGGTATGTCGTGACAGCTAATATGAAAAGTGGCTTGTTTTGTCAGAAATGTGTAAATAAACATGGCAACACTTCAAGTGAAGGTCACAACTCAATATTACATGACAAGTGCAGCGAGAGCGCTGTCGCGTTCAGGTTCTCCCACAAGATAACTGAGCAAACAAAAGTTGCTTGTCACAGATTGTAATGACCTGATTAAACTTGTATTTTTTTTCCCAGGCAGGCGCCGGCTGCATGACTAGATTGAGTAGGAATTTGTACAGCAGTAAGGTAAAAACTAATCCTTAATATTTGTGAATCAACAAGCAAAAAAAAAAAAAAAAAAGAAAACCTTCTATTTTCCTCCCTCAAAAGACAAATACTCTTGATGCTCACATTTAACATTTTTATACTGGCATGGCCTGTGGTTCTGACTACTGAGAGCAATCCAAGCCTAAACCCTGTATTTACTGAGCCCCAAAACAACAGGCGAGGGAGAGAGGTGGAACACAGCACAATCACCTATTCAGATCAGGTACTAATGAAGAATTCCATCTATCCTGAAATTTAATTAAAACCCCAAAGACTTCAGATGAGATGCGATTTGAAAGAGCCTGGGGCTGGTACACAAGCACTTGGTGGCGAAGGGAATCACACTGAAAGTTGATATCGTAATTGGTCCTGATGTATTTCTGCATTGCCTTTGCGGGAGCGTGGGACTCATAGCTGTATACAGGGTCTCAATGGAGTACCTGCTCATTGAAAATGCCATCACTCAAGCACTGCAGATCTGCATGAAATTAGAGAGCGACTAAGGCCTGATTGCAGGGGAAGAGAGGCACAATTGTTAAATGCATATATTAGAGTTATTTTTTTTTTCTCTGTGTAGGTGTGCTTCTGGGTCTAAATGAGCGCTTCTGCAAAATCTTTAAGTTAAAATGCAATGAGCGTCTCAGTGTGACAAAGAAATAGCCGGTAATTGTTTTGAAAATGGCACGAGTGCGATAAGTTTATGATTTCAAAAATAAGTTGTCAGGCTGCGAGCATTGTTTGTTTCCACCAAACAAAAACGCCAGGGATAATTAATTCCTCATTTTTATCCTCGGTGCCCTCAATCATTCACTCTGCAGCCATAACTACCAGATGAAAGGACGCTAATTGTCCGTTTTTTGGGGGTGCTTTCGTTTTACTCGCCCTAGGTGACTGGTCAAGCCAACAATAAGCTCATTCAAACTTTACCACCATTCACATGTTGTCATTGAAAAAAAAAAGCTTCCTGTCTGAAAATGTCAAGAGTGGAATTCGATCAGTTTCAAAGAATGTGCCAAGAATCATGGAAAAGCTTGCCAAGACTAACACGCGTGGTAAGAGCTGCCACAGATTACTGAACCAAGTTACAGCTCTGTGTTCTGTTCTCTCTCCTTTGCTCACCCACTCACTCGCTTTTCCTCTGCTCTGTCTCTCTCGCTCGCTCTCCCACTCTCTCTCTCTCTCTCTCTCTCCCTCTCTCAGCCATAAAATACTTCATTATAACACAGTGAGCCAGTGAGTGTAAGTGATGTAACTGACAATTAAGAGTGAAAGCCTGATCCCAGTCATGGCTCTGCAAATATTTATCCATGACAGACCTCCTTGCAGGGCGGGGTGGTGAAAGGCAGGGAGCGGGAGACTCCCAGCGGTCTGCGGCTCACTGAAGTACGCCTGGAGCCATTCAATGCAGCGCTGCATCTCGGGGCTCGTTTCTGCCGGGCTATCGTTGACCACACAGCTCAGGGGGGCCTCGCCACTCCTGTGAGGGATATAAGGCAGGATGGGGAGTTGAGGTGGGGATCAGAGGAGCAATCATAATACCCCATTCTTGGTTGAACAGTGCTAAAATATGTCACAAGAGTGTAATAACACGCCACGGGTGATACAGATGCAAGATGACATAATTTGCCGAGTGAAACTAAAGTTGTTCAATCAAGACGTGTTTAAAATCTAAAGCTGTGCATTTTATGTCACTGGGCTGCAATGAATATCAGAGCTGCGAAAGACAGAAAGACGCTCAGGAAAACATAAAGACATTAATCTGGACATTTTGTTACACTAAATATATATTTATATGAAGTGCAGGATGATAGAGTATGAAAGAAAACATTGTCGGGTCATAAGGAACGGCGCTAACAGTTCACTTCAAACTACTTTAAGGAAGCAGAACCAGTTTCTCCAAAAGGAAAAAAAAACAAAAAAAGAGTTTTCCAAAAGTCTTGCAGCTGTTACGGGAAAAAGTTAAGAGCACAGCGTTAACAACAGTTTCAACTCTGCTTGGGTCTAGTTTATAGTTCATGACAAGAATAAATGGATTTTTTGGCCAGAGCAGTGCTGGCCGGCAAAGCACTGCACTTGGACGTGCATCTTAGCATGAGTAGATGCTTGGAGGAATTTGCCGATGGTTGAGTTGGCATCACTTAACAGCTGAATTTCTCTCCGCTGCTGACCACCCCCCAGGTCAATGCAAGCAGACTGACCCATATTTGACACTTAAAGACCCTACTGGGAAGGTCCTCTCTTAGCATGTGCATTACTGCAAAGTGGACCTCAAGCTGTGTTGTGGATCTGAAGCCGGCCGCCAATTCCATTAACTGGTGTACAGGACTTATAAATAAATAATATCACCATTTAAGTGCCCCTTTTTCAAAATTGGCTTATCCTGTATGGTATTAATAATAGACATTTACTTTGTTAAACACACAGACCGTCTCTCTCCTGCCTGCCGTAACAACACGGCCCTAAAGTGTTTTTACACTTCTGCAGGTCACAGTTTGAGCAACGTTTTATATTGGACACGTGAAGCTGAGGTTTACTGGAGTGTTATGACTGAGCAGGTCAGTTTTCAGGGAACCGCTCTGCCTGCTAGTTTGTGGCTGTGTGATGAAAATCTCCTGGGTGCCGTTTAACAGTGGGTGTAAATACAGTAAAATGTGTAAATACTCTCATTTCTAAATAAACCACACAGCAGTTTATAGTTGAGTGGTGAAAACTCGGAAACCCACCGGCAGGTCCTGTGCTGAGACCCGCTCAAACAATGGCCATGGCTCATGGCAATCTCTGTCGGCATGGGTGAGTGCCCAGCCAGCCCCTACTTGTCATTGTCTCTCCTTTCTATCCCTCCCCTCTCTCCCTTCTCCCCCCCCCCCAGCTCTCCCTCCTCATTTCCCCCTCTCTATTTCTCTATCCTCCCACTCCAGCCCTTTTGGCTCCCCACCACCTACACCCCCAGACACACACCCACCATCCCCCCACCTCTCTTTCTCTCGGCAAAGGATCTTCAGGCCACTGTTCCCTCTCTACCCCCCCCCCACCACCACCTCCTCTACCCCTCCACAGCCCCTCTTTCTCTCTGAGAGGATGTTCCAGCCGCTGCACACTGACAGCTCGGGGATATTGTGTGTGGAAATGTTCCTGTTGGACCCGCAGGCCCTTACAATCTACTGGACAAAGGCTAGAGCACCTTTGCTTAAGGCTTGGCACCTTTGACCTCCAGCTCACACTTCAGACTTGTCACCGTGGCTAATTTTTCTCTCCCCTCAGCCCTCCGTTATGGATGCGCCGGCTCTAAAGGTGTTTTGAGTGATACAACATTGACAGTAGTAAAAGTTAATGCAATGCAGTACATGTTATGGCCGGTAAACAACACCAAAATAAATAAATAAAAGTGGAACAACATCAGTCGAGCTGAAGTCTGTCACCTCTAGGTGCAATAGGGGATTGTTTTTAAAGAGCATGTGGGCAGTGGAGATGTAGCTGCGCTGGCAACATTTCCAGTCGCTTCAATGAATCACAAATCAAGCAGCATCATGATCTTTGCAGAGCCCAGACTGGCACATTAGATACTCTGCCCTTCAAATGAGAGATTAGAGATGTGTAATAAATGTTGGACTAATTACAAAGAAACTCTCAAAGGAGGAGCAATCTTTATATTGTCTTAAAGTAACTGCCATCCCCTGTATAAAAAGAAGAATTATAATTAGTAGTGATTATAAACAGTATTTCAATAAATGTGTTTAACAAGGGTGTTTGAGTTTGAATAAACAATTCAAAATTTGGTTAAAGCAAAATTGTCATTTATCTTTTGACAAGTTAAAATCCTATTTTTTTTTTCAACGTTCTTCAGGCGTTTACTATTTCATCACAGGTAAGGAAATAAGAAACTAATTCCAAACTAGCCAGGATCTGCTGCACTAAAAAGAATATTTCCCTTGATAGAAGATTGTGATTTGAGAAAATTTCTAATATTGTGCTCCTGTCACAATCAATTTCCAATTACCATAAATCATTGCTGCGTAAAGTGGGAGTCATTTGGAGTTCTACCTATTTTCCAACTCTAATATAAAGAATGAATTGAGCATTTATATAATGTTGGAGGTTATTTCATTCATCCTGGAAGAACCAATCAAAAAAGACAAAGGAAAAAAAAGAGAAAAAAAAGCTGACATTAAATTTGTCAATTTCCTTTGGCATATTCCGTATCTCTAGTTGCACAAGACTTCAAGTAAGACTTTTTCTATCAGCTGCAGACGTAAGAATGAAACAGGTTAACCACAGGATCTAATTGAAAGGAATCTGGCGAAGGGTGTAATGGTATATTGCACAAAAAGGGGAAAAACTCAGAACTCATGCCTCCATCCTGTGAAGCGTGATGGCGCTCATCCTGACTCGATCGGCTGTCACTTTTGACACAGCCTGCCAGAGTTCTCCTTCACCGATCATGGGTAACATGGCGGGTCAGAGGATGAAATAGAAAAGGCCAAGAGCAGTCCAATATTTTCCTCAGCCTTATAGCTTCAGATACTTAACTCAGAGACGTCAAAGACTCAAGAGAGCATGAAAAAAGCCTAAAATGACTGTCTAAAAAGGGAAAAAAATACAGCATGTCTCTATGAATGTCAAGATCCTGATGGTCTCCGAGCCAAAGGCTGTGATACAATTGTAAGCCACTTGCTCAATGCAGCTCGTTCAACCATTTGAAGATCATTCAGATGCGTATCTAGCTACTGCAGCACTAAAGTCGAGTGCTTTCGGAGTGGTAAGCTGTAAGGAATGCTTCCTATTCTGTTCCGGGGCGTACGTTTTGTGCTCCGCTGTTTCAAAATAAAAACAACTCGGCCGGATAAACTGCTCTCTAGATATCCAACAACTCTTATTAGCGAATGTCCACCAAAGAGGCCGCAACACTCAATCCAATACATAAAGGTGGTGGTAAAATACTGCAGAGTAGGCAACAAAGCACACAACAATTAGGTCTTCTCCCAACTGGCTAGCCACAGGAGTCAGTGAAGGCATGTATTACCAGAGCCTTAACTCTTACTCCATTATGTAGTGTATCCACACCCCGACGCAGCAATGTTTATCTACAACAGACTACTGAGCAGTTTCAAATAGTGTTTTTAGCCTCTATTCTCAAGTGCCACAGTAAGAGATTCCAATTACCCGAATGGTAAGGAGCCAGTGAGGGAGGCATAAAGTACATTAGGGATCCCCTGTAACTGCAGGGACCTTTTAGAGCCTCAACTGAAGAGGGCCGAGAGACTGGGGGGACAGTGACCCTGCATGGATAGCCTCTGTCAAAATTTGACCACGTCAAGCTCAAAGGCATTATGGGAATCCAGTGTCACCAAGTCCTAATTACTGTCTGTGTTCAGAGCAAATTACTGCCTTGTTCCTCTGATTAGCGAGGAGGCTAATCTTCACCTGTGTACGCCAGCACTGCTGAGGGCCCTTGAGTGTTAGCGCTTCGTCTTCTGTAATTTATTTTTAAATCAGTGCCCGCTCCCAGGAGTTTTGAGTGTTTTGTTGTGAACCGCTTACCATGATCCCCACCACCGCCCCCTCACCCCTAAATCCTTGACTAAATCCTTGTTTGGTGCCGCAGGAAGATAAGCAAGAACAACACTTGGGCATAATTGACTCGTACTCCTCTCCAAGATGTCAGAGCGGAATCATCTCTCTGCATATTGCCTTAGTATGTCACACACTGTACACTTCTGCATGTTGCAGATATAGAATCCAATCAAGTTCTAAAACAAACTAGCACAACCCTCGTGCCGGAAAAACTTCCCGGTCGACAGCAGGGGAAAAACAGAGGGAAAAAAAAAGAAAACTGCAGGAGCTGCTTTTAGCTGCATCTCTACAGTGAAGGGTAACTCTCGCTCGGCTCCTGTCCTCACCCTGGAGGTTCTGCTTTAGAAACCACAACATTTGCAGATTTTCATCTGAGTGAATGTCAGTGTCTCGTCTGTGTGGGGCGGTTTACAGGTAGTGTGTTACACAGGTGTTGGTTTACACAGGAAATGGCACATGCAGCCTGATTGGGACGGTCCCGAGAGATGGAGACATAAACATAGAGCACAGATGGGTCCAAGGGCCAGTGGGAGCAGCACCTTAATGAATACGCAGCTGAGTACTACACTTCACAACATGCAAAACAATATTCTAAGGCCGCAGTAAAAAATAGAACAAAAATCATCTGAATATCATTACACAATGAATTATTCATACCATTTCTAAAGGGACTACGTCAAAAAGTCTCCCACCCCTGCTTTATTGATGATTTAATTCAATATCTCAGCAGATCACTGTTTGTATGACAAAGCATTTTAAATACAAATGTAAGCAGTTTATTTAGCACACAATTGTGTCTATATACCAAGCAAAAAAATTATTCTAATTGATTAAAATTATGTGTTAGTGTAAATATAAAAGACGCAGACTGGGAAAGACAAAGAAAGGGAGACGGAGAGGAAGAGAGAGAAATTACAGTTATTATAGGAAAAAAGCAAGTTGTTGATATGGTTCCCGGTGTGTGAGCACATCGTGTAAACAGGCCCCCAAACAGGGAACACATTTACCATACTGCTATTCAGTGTGAACCAGGACATTGATTCACAACACTACATGAGTGTGAGAAAAACGATAAATGCATCACCTCAGATATTTCACACTAGCGTTGGTAGTGTGTAAAAGCTGTTGTGACAGCTTGGGTATTAGGGCTAGATAGATGGAAAATGTCTGGCTGCTTATGAATGCCAATGTGACTGGGGTGACGGGTTTGACACAAAAACACTCCACCTCAGAACAATTAGGCTGTTCTCAGGCCTCATCCAGTGTTGTCAGTGATAATGGAAAGCTGTGAGGATAACTGGTGATAAATAGACTTTAACACCCTCCTCCTTAAGACCAATGCAGTCCTGCAGTCCTCTCATATGCTTAACTAATCATGACCATGGCCGGCAAATTCATACAAAAGACTAATTACTGTTGTACTTCACTTCAGTCTCAAAGGCCTCTTATATAAGGACTTGGGGGTTCTCTTGCCTCTTTTCTCCTCTTGATGGGTATTTTTTTTACAAGTAGGCCTCATGCTAGACAAAAGCGTTTAAAAATTGGTGATTGCTTTCATCCGCTTTAATTACATTCAGAAATGGCATTTCTGCCACATAATACACCCCTATTGTTTCAGAATTATCTGGCTTGGGGAGTAAAATCTACAATATTTGACGATGCTCCCGAGCTAAATCGCCTCTTGAAATTGAAATATGCTGCCGAAATACAAAATAAAAAGCCAGCCTTTGCTGCTGATATACTGGAAGCTCCTTGGCTTTCTGCAGAATGCTATTATTATGCATATCCAGGTAGAAAGTTAATTAACCCAAAGCTTAAGCTAATTATGGTAGCAGAATGCTATCAACCAAACGCTTTCAGTCAGACAGCTGTCCAGAATTTCATTTGCTAATCATTTGTCTTTTGCCGGAGCATATGGTACATTTCCCCACTATCACAGCAACAACAAACAGATGAAAATCATTAACTAAAAACAATGTGCAATGTGAAAAATCAGACACAGATTTATAAGGCTTTGTGTCAGAGAAAAAAGGCGGATTTATGGCCTGGGAAATATAATGATAATTTTGGGTTTTAGCCACTTAGGATTTTAGGCAGATCACGTGACCCAAGTGTGCTGGGAATTCAGATGCACAAATATATTGTTTATATCTATATGCAAATGAGACAGAATGTTTATCCGTGTAAAATTAATTACAATTTTCTATAGGAGCATATGCAAAGAGCTTGTTCTTAACCATTTTTAGCTTCTAGCATATTTTGTGCCTGTTTTTTCCAACACAATATTTTTATGTTGTTAAAAGTAGAAATCCCTCAGCTCGGAATTAAATCAATTATTTTCCAAGAAATGCTTCATGCATTATTTTTTTTTTCTTTTCATAAAAACACATCATACCGGCTGTTAAAGGGTGATTGATATCAGCATTGCCTTGCGACATTATCAGGCAATAAAGGCTACTCAGGTTCTAATGCAACATGTCATACACAGGCTCCTGTAGTACATTTCTATTGAGGACCTCACAAGCTAAATTGCTTTTTTCCTGCTCCCCCACATCTCAGCCAGCTTGACAGACAAATTGATCAAAGCATTGTAAAATAATATGCTCACAAAATGTCTCGGGGCAGGAGTCCAGCCCTTTTTTCATTTTTCACCCTAATAAAAAAGTACTCTATGATTTCCTCTGTATTATGTGTCTGTGCTCTGTGTGAAAGAGGCAAGAAGCATCATATTTCAGATAATAGTAATCTCCTGTAAACAAAATGCGTATCATTTTTCTGTGAACGCTGAGGCCATGCTAAAAACTAAAGGGGGGAAAAGCTGGTTAACAGGGAGGCTGGTGCGTAGGGCCCCAACAGGGGTTGTTGAGATGTAATGAATTTGTTCATCTGATGGTGCCTTCAGGGCTGTCGTTAGACTGGCAGAGGAGGTTGATTTTAGGAAATGTTCCTAAGATCAGTTAGGAAGCAAAAGGGGCTTGAGACGTTTCTATTAGAAAGAGCTGACGGTCATGGTGTGTAAGCAATACTTCAAGGGCGTTTATGTAGCTATAATGGCATTTATCAATAACTATCTATCAATGCCATGAATGCTTGTGTTGCTGCTCCAGCTGTTCAACACCAACCAATAGTGAATTCTAAAAAAAAAACATAGAAAGCACGCACAGTGATATAAGCCTTCAAAGCTTTGACTTGCTCAAAAATATCTACTATAGGTCTCCCTTTATGTTATGCATGGACGTCATCTATTTCCCTTATCCAAAATATGCTCTTAGAGATCATTTATCACACTGACTTCCTAAGCCTGTGCCACACCACATCCAAAGCTGGAAAGAGCCTTGTTTAGTATGTCATAAATAAATCAGTGGAAATGGATGATTTGAACTATTACTGCTACAGGCAGGCTTTTGTGAGATCTACATGTAAAGCCGGTTGCAAAGATAAGCTCATATTTTGTCACTTTATCTCGCCTCCCTTAATGCCTGTTTACATTGTGTTACTCCATATATCTGAGGTGGCTCTAGTTCCCCTGTCCTATGACAATAACACCGTATTCAACTGGTCGTGATAAAATCTAAACATTTTCTTTAATGATTTCTTGCTCACACCTTTGAGAACATACAGACTGCGATGTGATCGAAGTTTCACTTATGACCGACGTAGCAAATGATATTAAACTGAGAAATGATCTAGTGATGCGAATCATTAAATTCATTTGCATATTCCTACTGAACCTGAACACACAAATTAAACCCTGTTCACAAGGAGACGCAGAAAGGTGCTTGCGCATGGTTACAGGACATCTTCCATAATCAAAATTCCATATTATTAATTTTCGCACTTCAACTCATTAACAACAAGTGGAATGTTTTTACTGCTTGATGAATTTTAGGAAATAGCAGACAGTCGGGAAGGAAACACATGTTGAGGTATAATATACAAGGTCATTAATGGGTTTCCATAAATTAGAATTAGAACATACATTTTCAAAAGGATAGCTTCCTATCCGGGTGCATTTGAAAATGGTTTAATTTCCCAAACCATTCAAGTTTATCAAATGTGAATCCGCAATACATGGATATTTAATTTCAATCTAATCAAAACTAATCTGATATGTAGGATGTGGACCTGTAAAAATAACGAATAAGTACTTATTAACGCTGAGTTTAATCAGTTTCAGTCGCTTCAGTAAGACTGTCAGCATTCTAACAATTTTGAGGGATGGGCAGGGCACGAAATGCAATCACATATTACATTTCTGAGTGTCGGTTGACACTCGGAACTACTGCATACAACTTGGAGGAAACATAAATAAACAGGAGCGAGCAGTCCATGCTCCCCATGGCCTTTGCTGACCCTACAGACATCAGCTCTAATCAACTCCCCTGTGGGTAATAAACAAGTTATTTTTCTGAAATTTCAAATATACTGCAGGAAGAATCACAACCACATGCCATCAGAAATCTAATTTCAAGCCCAACTGTATTCTAGTGCCCCTCATATTTCTAGTGCCTGCTCATATTTGCCCAACTTTCTCCAGGATATTTCTTGTGGGATCTACAAAAATGCCCTGCTTCCAATGAGGAATGGTGGCACTCCATCACAGGAGTGGATTCTGTCTGCCTGTAAATTTCACACCTTTGTTTATCACGTCACCATCCCGGCTGTTGTACAGTACCTTTCAGCAGGTGCGACATCCATTAGGATCTGGATGGTGTGCACACCATTCTCACATCCACTGACTTGGATCGTCCCCAGGGGGCTCAGCAATGAGATGGTCTTCTGAGTGCACTGGCTCTCCCTCTGCTTCTTCATCTTGCTGCCCTGCTAAGGAAGCACAAATTACACTCTGTTCATTGATATATTCATGTGGCAACTTTGACAATTTCCCACACATATTTGCATTGAATGATCTATTGAAAACCTAGCGGGCCACCAACGGATGATGACTTACATATTTGAACACCTAGCCTCCAAACAATGTCATGATGTGACTTGATCCCCACATTACTATCCAATATTTCTTTTGTGCATGGAAAAGAATACGCCTATCTAACCAATAAATCGCCCATTTTTTCCCCTCTTTCTGTTCTATATATCACATAAATGAGAAAAACAATGCAGTCTGTTCCCTTGTCTGGTGGGGGATTCCCAAGATAGCTCGACATTATTTTCAATCCGTCATTTTTGGTTGATGGTCGGGATGTTTTTCTAGCATTAAATTTGTTCCTTAGGGTGCAACTCCGATGGGATTCTGGTTTCCAGCCCTTAACAACAGCAAAAACGTGCAGCTTTTCTGACGACTGAGATGGATACTGGCAATAACCAGACAGCAGTTCCTTTTTTATTTTTACTTTGAGGGAAGGAGAGATGATTGACTATGTTATATGTGAGTTTTTGAGAGATGGGGGTTATAATAAATAAAGGTCACATTGATTGTAAGAGTTTCAACTAAGGAAACCTTTCCTTCCTGGAACCTTGATCTGAAAAGTGTCGAAAGGGTACAAACACAATATTTCTCAGTCTTCTTTCATTTTTAATAGTACATGTACATTTTAACTCATACGAATCTATAATTGTGACATATAAAAAGCTGCAGCTAATAACTATTTTCATTATAGATTTTTCTGCTGATTATTTTCTCAAAGAATTAACTATTTGTTTAGTCTAAGAAATGCCAGAAAAATGTCTACATGTTGTTTTGTCCGACCATATCAGCCCAGAAACCAAAGATATTTATTTTACAAAGATATTAAATAAAGTAGCATTTTCTCAAATTTAAGGAGCTGTAAACAAAGAATTACAAAAATGACTCGAGCAAATAGCTGATTTTCAAAACAGTAGTTATTCTCTAATCGCTGCAGCTTTAGTATATCAACAGACTTGGCACTTATTGATGCAGTATTTCCTCTGCAATATTGACATTTCAAGTCTAAAAATATTTGTATTAATTAGTAGGTTATCAACCAGACAAAGACTTCAGAAAGGAAATTCAAAATGTACTTTAAACTTCTAACACTCACTTAGATGCAGTGTCGACCCTCAATAAAGCGACAAAAAAACAAACTAGAGCTAAAAATGTTAATCAATTAATTGCAACCTACAAATATCCTGATAATCAATTAATCCGTTTATTTATTTTTTCTAGGAAAACTACAAAACATTTTCTAGTTCCAGCTTCTCAGATGTGATGATTTGCTGCTTTTCTTTGTCTTACGTGATAGCAAACTGAATTTTGAGGGGCTTTGGAGTATTGGCCAGACATTAAAAAAATAAATTTAAAGATGTCACCTTACTACTTTAGAGCAGTATCATGAAACCACTCAACTATTTTCTGACATTTTATATATCAGTGAATAATTATAATAATAACTAGGTCCAACCCTAAAACAAATTGGTAAATAAAAAGGCTCAACTGCTCAGCTCAGCCTGTACTTTTAATTTAACAATGGATACATTTATTTTTAGATTAAACAAAGGTTAGGTGATAAAAAAAAAGTAGTCATGCATTTACAGAATTTCATTTAGACTTTATGTTGCCCCCCCATCTTCTCACACACACACACACACCACCAACACCACCACATCTGTCATGGTATGCGATCACAAATGCGTCTGCTTCAACTTTCTTGTTTCTACTCTTGCAGCTCTCACTGTATTCATCGGGGGTTTGCCTGAACTGACAATAAAGGCGAGAAATTTCTGAGCCAAACAATGGTACAGTGCACTTTGGATAAGCGCTGAACACACTGCCTGCCATTTAGCAAGCTGGTAATAGACTCATAGATAGAATAATGGACTTTGGCAATAATGGCCTTGGCTAATAGTCTACACTGATTAAAAATAATGCTATCATGTTTGTTTTGTGCCGTTTTCGGTGCAGCAGACTAGTCCAACTGACTACTTGAATGTTTGGGTGTTTACCCAGCTCTTCACGGTGAGAAACAACAAACAATAAGCAGCTTGTGTTGTTAAAAATCACTGGCAGCGTCCTCAAGCTCGTCAATCATTTGACTCGTTTCTCATTAGACTAGTTCCCGGTCAAACCTGCGTGATTAATCGAGTAGAAAGCGTACTGTGACTGCGCAGGTGTGGAAATGCAACATGTGTCCTTGTTGTGTAATTTTAGATTGAAGGAAATTCCTACCGAACCGTAGACGAAGATTGCCGCAACTCTATGGGTGTATAGGTGTCTTAAAACTAGCTGAAACACACATTTAATAATAAGTGCGCACTTAAAATGTCGAAAAGAAAAGCAGGGGTTCGTTACTGAGGGCCAACGCTAACTTCCTCTAAAGATAGCCCTCGGTAGCAGAAGACACGGATCATTGCTGCACTGCGGATTATGTCAGGCCTTGTTAGAGTAAGTTTAACGCCATAAATGAGTCCTGTAATTTACAGTGAAGACATTACAGTCATAGGACGTCTGTGCGATGTCCGCTTCTCCTCCTCCTGCAAAAACAAATGTGAAAGACAGTCTCTTCCTGTTTCCTTCAGACTGCGTGGTCGGGCCGGCCAATCACAAGAGGGCAAAGTCCGCTCTCGCTCTGTGATTGGCAGGTATAAAGTCCCCGCTCCTCCCCCTGCCAGGGACAGACACAGAAGGCTTGTCTAATAGGTCTCAAGTTGGGATTTGGGGTCCTTCAGGGGGTCCCCAGTACACCGAAGACTAGTAATGGTAGTGATTTAGATATTTGATTTGCTTGATATTTTTACAGCAGGAAAAAATATGATAATGCACATTTTGAGCATTAATTTCAAACACTGTTATCTTTCCACTTATAGCTGAGACATTTATCCAAATCTTTATCTCCAGTGACAGCTTCGCAGTGAGGTCTTCAGGGTCCCAGGCATATTGTTTGTGGATAAAAACACCTATGTGACTCCAGCAACCAATGACATCTTATGTATTACCAACTAATAAAGTCAGCATGTTGTTATGAACAACATGAGGCAGAGCACAATCCTTTTATTAGGGTTTTATGCTGTTTAAAGGGGAGGGAGTTGCCTTATGTTGCCTGGAGCAGTCATAGATTTAACTGAAGCATATATTTTAGTCATTATGACCAAGTGTGTGGCATTAGTCATGTATTGTTTAAAAGTGTCTGTTGTCCTCTGCAGCTTTATTTTTATTTCTGTGGTGCCTTCAGCTCTCTGCATGCCTCCGTTTGGAATGTGTAGGCCGGCGTGGGCCTGTGGCCCACACCCCATCTCAGCGGTGAGGGTGGGAGCGGGGGAGAAAACGCCACCCCTGCAGAGACCATTTTGAAATCTGTGAGGATTTCCGTGCCATCTGGACCCGCTGCCAGTCTGCCCCAGATAGTAAGGGTTGGCAACGGTACCCGACGGTGCAATATGGCTCTCTCTTTAATGAACTACTAACTGTCCCCCGTTTTAATTGATGTGACATTTGAGCCATTTATCTCTGACATTTCAATGAAGGATGATTCTCAGCCTTGCCATTTACTTTTTTGTGCTATTTTCTAAGAGTCATTTGCATTTTTCTGCTCTAAACCTGCTTTTTGTCTCTCATTAGCTAATTAGAGAGCAACATGCACAATTAATAAAAATGAACATAACCTAGTTTGATATAGGCTTGATGAGGGATAATCAGAAAATCACTGTTTTCTTAATATTCATCAAAAATGATGTGAAGGGCTACCTGTGGTAAAAGGTGACTTCGATAAAGCCTTGTAACCTTTACCCACATACCAACATGTAGCCTACAGTGTGGGACAACTTATGTTCGCAGCATGGGGAGAATCAAGCTCAATTAATCAGCATATGATTGCAGTAAGCAGCCCCCTCTGCTGGATCTTCTGAGCCATACTGTTTGAAATCATTTTAATGCTGCATTCAGTGGCCAGACAATTATCATATGTGGCAGTCACAGTGGATGTTTTTGCATTTGCTTTATTATATTTAGAGAGAGGAATTTGTCTCAAATACGCAATTAAGTTTTTTTAAAGGCAACTTTTGCTTTTTGTCATTCTATATTTATTGTATGTTCATTTAAATTACTGCTGGCACATCAAAGCTGTTTTGCAAATTTAATATTTTGTTTGTACAGTCATATATATTCATTCTGATGAGTGCAAATAATTTATTTTAAAAACAGGAAATACTTTAGCCATGGTGTGTTGAAATAAACAGCCTGAAATGCGTGTGAGTGACATAACAACCTGGTATACTAAAGGTTCCAGACTCAATTGTTTTCCATAATGACACATATTTTCAATCTTTTTAAGATATCCTTTAAAAACACGGCTGCACTGATGACGACTGTTCCTTTGATTGTGAGCGGCATCATTGCCAAGGTGTGGTGCCCTGTCTGTGTTGGCAGCCGGGCTGATATCTTTTGTTTGAGACTCAAAGAGCTCCTTTTCCTGTTCAGTTTCCCTCACTATTTTTGTTTGTGTGAGGTGTTGATAGACTTATACGTTGCACAGCTTCCTTTTAGTGTACAGCACCAGATGTTTGTGAGAATAACAACCCTAACCTTTTTGTCATAATGACAGAAATTGTTTATTAGCAGTTTTGTCCATCCGGTAATGTATGATTGTCATAGCTCAGTCATATACTGCCTGTCTGTGTCTTGCTCTCTTTTCCTGTGTTCACAATCTCACTCTCATGTTGGCGTGGGAGGAGTTGAAGTCATTTATGATATCAGATATTCTCTAGGAGAGCAGGAAAGTCCTGACAGACTGAACAACCACCATCCTCTCACACAGTGGTGTGTGTGAGTGTGCATTTTAATCAGGAGAAATGGCTCTGTGGGCCTCACATTGCACATCGAGGAGGTCTGAGTGTTCTCATTGTGTACACCCAGTGTACAGTACATGTTATGTCTGTTCCTCTAAATCAAACCATGAAGCAGACATGAAAAAGGCAACCCATTATTTTGTTCTTTTTACTTTGACACTTTGTTATTCCACTCCTCTCAAAAGAATTAGCCTGATCATCATATAAGCAATGCCGCAACCACAAAGACGTGACAAAATTTCTCTGTAGCCTCCAGTGCCCACTTATTTAGTGTGCCTGTGTGCCTGTGTCCCTCCATCTCTGATATGATGTGGCTTCTCTATTTTACTGTTGACATAGTGCTATGAATGTCTGAGCACTTTGCAAATGAAGAGGCTTGAACTCCTGACAGGCAGTGTCGCCGGCACCATGACACACTGGCCCGCACATGCTGTGCGGCATAATGATGACATTAGGATCCAGTGATAATATCAGGACGCACTTCAGATAAATGACTGATAAACCAGGGGTTGTGCCTCTCGTATTACACGCTTGACAGAGCAGCTAATCAGTGTCCAAGTGACTGCTATTACATAAATCATGAGCTCGACTTTGATGCATATTCCATCAGTGTTCCCTATTCATCACGTCATCTGGGGGAGACTCTCTGGATGACTGGCTGCCGGGCCAACACACATTTTAAGAGCACATTATGTTTTCATTAGAATTTGATATGATCCATTCCAGTGTTGATTTGATTTTACGTGCTCGGGTCATTTGATAGGAAACTACCAAGGAGAGGGAGTGTATTGTTACACCGTGTAAGTGGTTTGGGGTGTCATTTCACTCTCACTGGCCACATTTACAGTAAAGATGCTTGTTGATAAACAGCATTGTTTCCTCATATAATAAATCAATTTTTATTGAAACTGTCAAAATTATTTTTGTATTTTCATTTAATCACATCTAATCACACATGCTTGGTTAATTTACAGAACTGTATTCAAATAAAGACTTCAGCAATAAGATGCTGAGCGGTGCGATATTGTTTTATTTTGCAATAAAATCAAATACAGTCACACTCAGAGATGAAGTTGGAAGGGAGATGTGGGGTGTTGAAGTGAGTCACCATGTATGTTTTATTCTCCAGTATTGGGGTCAGAGGATGTGAAGGTGGGGGTGTTAATTTAATCCCCATTCTTACCCAGAGCATGGCCACACTCTCTAAGGAGCTTTATCTCTGACAACTGTGTCAAATTAGAGAGGCCACGAGCCCCTCATAAAGAATATGTCTGTCAGACTACATTGTTCCTGGCCTCTGAAATATACGGCCGAGAGAGACAAAAATAGAAGATAATACCGTAGTCCCACAGTTGGACTTGAACATGATGAAATAATTTTCAAGCCATGTGATCCTGTCATAGAGACAAACCGCTAATAAAACTGACGCCCACAAATTATTCTGTACCTTTGCTGCTTTGCTATTCAAAGATTTCAATAAGTATTGTTGTATTCAAAAAGCATACCTGTTCCGGGATTATCCCTAATATTTGTGCTGTCTAATTATCTTCATCTTTTATGCTAATAAAATGCTTGAACAGAATTATTTAGAGAACTTTATTGGACATTAATTCATTGTAATTCAGCCTGGCTGTGTATAATTGATGGGAGTGTTACATTCCATTAGCCATGGTACATAACTCTAGGTCAGTCCAGTCTGATAAGTGCCCATCATTTATCTCCCTGGTATCATCGCTGTCCCACAGTCAAACATGTAAAACAACTCTTAATGTTCTCCTTAGTCCCCTATGGGTGTTTCTCCCTGTTATCATCATTGCCTCTATTCTAGGGGGACTTCCTCTGGAGACAACATTTTCATAGACCTTTGACCTAAACCATATTTTCCATTTGAATGGTCTGACTGGTGAATATTTACAAGCATGTTTAATGTATAATAGATCTCATCTGTGAGTATCAGGAGCCATTTTCTGCTCAGTCAGGTTCTGGGGTTGGCCTTGGCCCCTTGCTTGAGGTAATATTGACCCCTCTTAAAAACAAAATGACCTGTGCCTCATTTAGGCCAAGTAGTATGCATACGTATTGTACAAGTCCTAAGGGCATACATGTTTATAACAAGGAAAGCTGGCGGTCTCGAATGTAAACATCTTAGCACTGTAATATTATTGTATCAGTAAAGTCCCAGAAGGTGGTAGATTTAATAATGTGGGTGGATTATATAAGAGAGAGAAATAAAGCAGTAATTTGAAATTGTTTGGGGACCTTTTGTGTCAATGGTTATGGAGGCTAAGGGACAATTCCATTCCCTCAGGCCACTGTTAAAAAGGCAATGACTTTTCTTGTACATGCACAGCATTTTGGAATCTACATGCGTTACTAGCACCACAGGCTTTTATCATGTGATTAGTAATACATAATACATTTGATTCTATTATCATGCATGGAAAAAAAATGAATGAAGGTGGTGAAAGGAAGAACACGTTGATGATGAATAACGTCTGCAGTGAAGTGCTTGAATATACATTTAATAGGGAAACAGATCTTGGTTTGCTTCTCGGGTGCTTATACAACCACGCGGTTTTTAATCTCTTTCTTGCCGATGAAAGTCCCAGTAATTGCTATATTTCCCTTTTTGTTTCAAGG